AAACTGATGTTCCTTTTGAGTGGATGGTGTTGAAATTTGCAGAGTCAGTGAGGTGAAGTTTTTGGGAGTCATTGAAAAACTGACATGGAAATCTCATTTAAATAACTTGAGAACAAAAATGGCTAAATCTATTGCAGTACTCTATAAAGTTAAGGAGTTATTGAATGATAAAGCACTATTTACACTATATAATGCAATAATTGTTCCACATTTGATTTATTGTATAGAAGTCTGGGGAAATGCAAGTAAAACCATTACTAATCCTATTTTTATTTTACAAAAAGAGCCATAAGAATTATCACAAGAAAGCATTACTATCACCCTTCTAATATATTGTTTCATCAATTAAAATTGTTAAAATTTCATGAGTTGGCTGATTATAACATTCTGCAGGTTATGTATAAACTCTTAAAAATGTGTTGCCATCAAACATCCAATCACATTTTGTTAAGAGGGAAAGCTGCTACAATTTGTAGGGACTASAAATGTTTATTAAAACAAAAATCAGAACAAATTTGAAGGATAGATGCACTTCAGTAAAAGGTATAAGACTATGGAATAATCTGGAAAATGACCATGAAAGCATTGGATCAGTGAATTCCTTTAAGTTAATAATTTCAGGTGCTTTCTGCATTTTGGCTGCTGAAGTTCGCTTTTTCAAACTAAATACACATTATGGTGGGTTTTTAAGCATTTTTTCCTGCAGACTTCAGCAAACATGTTCCTACTACTGRTTTTGCTAATATCTCCATTTCACATTTCAGCTGTTTTACTGCACAATTTGACTGTTAAAGCTATKTGACAACAATTTTCACTTTTTATTTTACTTTTWTGTTATTTTGTCCATCCAATTTGACAATTCTTTACACTCCTTTCATCATCCGGATGCTTTCTACGCTTCTAAGCTGTTTCAGCTATATTTCTACTGTTTTTCTGCAAAGTTTAACTTTTTTTATTTGCTTCTTTCAGCTTTTCAAATTAACCTGGCATTAACAGTTTTGCAATTAAACACTTTCAGCAGCTTTCAGCTGAAGTTTGTAGTATTCACACTATTATTTTAGCAGGAAATGCAATTTCTTTAGTTTTATATACTGCAATAAAGAGCAACCATGATTCATTAGTGTTAAGTACTTCATAAGCACTTCATCCTTTCAGATTGTGTGATTACACCTGCATACATCAATCATCAGGTGTAATATCCATTCAGCAATCTGAGCTGTTTATAAAGCAACCAACTTAATTTCCATAAGCAATTTATGGCAAAATTTGCATTTATGTTCGTGTGAATGTTGCCCCTTCACACCTGTAGCATCACAGAGAGACAGGTTGCACTGTAAATATTAAACTCTGTAGGGTTTAAAAGGTTATTAGAACTGATGTTCATTGTTATGACTTGGGCGACCAGTAGGGGGCAGAGGACTCCCTGATCTGCAGTTTCACGTTCTGTCACTTCATCATTCATGGGGTCCTCCTGGGAGGGGCCAGAGGACAGGATGAACCACTCATTGATCGTCAAAAGGAGCTGGATTATCTGTGACTGTGATGGGTGTAGATGGGAGATTCCCTTCAAGCAGCTGCACTTGTTCTAATTATAATCTGTGATTTCACATCTTAAAACAAACCATCATTCAGCTGTTTTCTATGCAAACACTTCACATGTCTATTTTTAACCACCACGCCTTGTAAAATTCTTTGTATTGTCTAAAAGGATCTTATCCTTGATATTCTACTGTTTTTTAAACTCTAAATCCATGCCACTCTGCTGCCTCCACACATGGATGAACAGGAGTAACACGAACGTCTTTGCAGAACTCTTCAATCATTCATCCAACAGAAGGAAAGCTGGATGACTGCAGTTTCACACAATAACAACCTTAAACACGCTGAGCCTGTGTAGATCTGCAGTGATCAATTCAAAACCTGGTAAATACATATTTCTAAAAAGTCAAATTGTAGATATTTTAGTATTTTCAAGCTCAGACTCGAATGTGTCAGAGAGATCTTACGAGCCTGACTGAGATCCAAAAAGGGGTAAAAATCAATCAACAACAAATGTTACCAGAAGTACGTGTGTTTGAGAGTTAAGACGCAACAAATACGACACTCGGCTTCTGCTCCAACAGTCCGAGTGGTCTCRTATTTCACTCAAGTAAAGCAGTCATGATTAAATTGTGATGCAGAAACTGAAGCCAGCTCACTAAGTGTAAACAGAAATGCCCACATGGCCAGGTCCTTCACACTCCAYGACTAATTTGAGAGAACACTGGTTTTGCAAATACAGTATTTAAAAACATGGTCAAAATATTCAGTAGAAAAAATGAATGCAGGGTTGTTGTTTTTTAGTGACTTTGACAAGAGGCAGACTGTGATCTTCAGAGTGCTGGGTCAAACATTCATGCTGGTGCAGCTTTTGTAGAAAGTATCTGGTTGGATCAAAGACCAGTCCAAAGTGATTTAATGAAGGGGAAACAGATAAACTACAAACAGGAACATGGGTGGCCAAAACAAAGTCAGTTTATGTTTGTGGACGGCAAAAGCAAAGCTTTGCTGTCCAGTTTGATATAAGAAGGACCAAAAACCAGAAAAACAAAACTCAGTGAACTAAATTTTCTATGTTCTGCTCTAATCGTGTATCTTTTAATCAACTTGGGTGGCAGCTGAGGTGGCCGATCAGGTTCTAGAGATGTCACCTCACCCACCCCTCTGGTTCCACCCCTGTCTTCACGGCCTCCATGAGGGGTATCTCACTTTCTCACGATTCGATTCTGATTTTTGGGGCCACGATTAGATTCAAAATCATTTTTGATTCAAAACGATTTAAATCGTAACGATGCTTCAATCTGTTGGTGTGCAAAGGATCCTCATGATCCACTCTAGTCTGCAAAGCACATTGGGTAAAAACTGTCCAAATCTTTGCCTTCAACAAGGACAGGGCCTGGTTAAATCTCTCTTTCCTCCATTTCTGTCTCTTTGTTTTGATGCTTTCCACACGTGTATGTTCCAGAATCGGCTGTGTGGGGATGTTAGAATGTCCTGCRGCATATAAAATAGAGGCCAACAGCCAGTGGATTTGTTTTATTTTTTAAAATCAGTTTTGGGACATTTTWTATCAATTTTGAACCGTTGTAAATGAGACTGACGATTCTTATGTGATCGATTTTTGGTCTCAATCCTAAACTGTCCACTGGTGAAAGCTCATACAACAGGCATGTGGCGGTGAAACATAACGGCATGGTCGGAWAAATCAGTTTTTCATTTACAGTACATCATGTGAATGTCCGTTTGAATGGCAAGGTGTGAGCACAAGGCACGTCAGTGGAGGAAATGTGACGCCCAGGACAAAATCTTGGGATGGGAGTCTGAAACATAACACCTATGGAACAGCCCTTCATCCTCTATGATGGCTTCTCTCAGCAGAATAATGTGAGGCCAGCTGCAAGACCATGGCCACAGGGGTGATGGTGGTGGTGGGTGCACCGGCTACCCTTGAAATCTGATTAGACCCCCGCATGGCCACCCCCACCAGAGCTGTCAATCACTTTATTTGTAGCACACAGGCTGGAAGCTTCAGACTGCACGCTCCTTACCAGKTGGTGGCGGTAATGCTCCAGACCGATGACCAATTTATACAAGTAGGGGTCTCCGYGGACGAGTGGGCGTGTCTCAAGGAAATGCGATTCTAAAGCGACACACCTGATTTGACAGACTTTGTTAAAGGAAAAGAAAAAGTGGTGCCGCACAGTAATGCCCCTTTTGTTCTTGTCTAATCAGGTGGTGCCGTACAGTAACGCCCCYTTTGTTCTTGTCCAATGAGGTGGTGCCGTACGGTATCGCCCCTTTTTTGCTTGTCCAGTCAGGTGTGTCCCTTTAACAAAGTCCCTCAAATCAGGTGTGTTGCTTTAGAATCGCCCGCACTCGTCCGCAGAGACCCCTACTTTCACCTGACTGGACAAGCAAAAAACGGGCGATACCGTACAGCACCACCTCATTGGACAAGAACAAAAGGGGCGTTACTGTACGGCACCACTTTTTCTGGAGAACCCTACTTGGGTCACATTCTCCTGGTTRACCTTAGTGTTGGGGTCAGGGTCAGGCTGTAAAGAGATCAAGCAGGATCTAAGGATACCGTCATGTAGGCCTCGTAGCCCACAGTGTTTATGGTTTAGACACACCCACTCTTGTGACACGCCCACTTTTATTCCGCAGATAACCCCTTCTCAATTTATATCCACCGTATTCCTGGGGTTGCTACTGTAGGCATGATTATGGGTATGACTTCCTGTCAGAAACAACGAAAGCAGTAAACTTTGGCTAACCAAGTTAGCGGAGCACAGATCATGGTTTATTTGAAAGCAATTAGCATTCAGATTACCAGAACAAACTTTTTTGTTTATATTTAGCAGCTGTAGTAGAGTTTACAAATGGCCTTGCAGAGTTCAGGAATCTGTTTTTTTTTTTTTTTTTTTTTTTTTTTTTTTTTTTTTACCTTTTTGGGTAAATAGGGTTTTATTCAAATTTTGGCACACTGTTCATTGCAATATGAGACTGTAGGGAATTTAGATGGAATAGCCTTTTTATTGTGCCACCCTTCCACAGTCTGTGCACCTGCCTGGTTCCCCACAAGAAAAAAAAYCTAGACACGCTCCTGGCCAGCTGAAGTGAAAACAGTTTAAGAATGTTCTGCGGAACGCAACACGTGCATGGATTTTAACTCGGCCACTAAATCCTCTGTCACTTCAACCGAGAGGCATGCGGGACGTGCTGGAGAGGCAAACTCAGCCTACTGAGGTCCTCGCATCCTCCGGGGCTCAAAGGATCTGCTGTTGATTGCTTGGTGCCAGGAACAACCACGGACCTTTAGAGGTTGAGTGGAGGTCAGGTTAATAGTAACAGAGGGAGCTAACATAAAGTGTGTGGTGAATGGTCCTAATGCACAGGCTGATCTCTGCATGACAAACACAAAGATACATGAAGAGTAAAATAAACACAAGACATCAAGCTACATTCAGTTTCTTTAATTAGATAATCACAACATGGGGAACATTTTTAGAGTTTAAACTCCTTTTACTAAGTTTAAGGTTCAACAGATATAAATGACCTTAAAACCATAAAAAGTAAAATATGCATCATTAGTAATCTCACAGTGTAAAAGTACAGTGCTACATCTACAGTTTAGTCATTTTTTGGTTAAAGTTACCACTTATTGTGAAAGTAGCTCAGATATATAACTAACACCAAGACATCTGTTTGAAAACTGCAGCTTGAACATTTTGTTTTCAGCTGCGTCATGCAGCTTTAAGGGTGCTGGATGCTTCATGAGCTGCTATTTCTGATCGTGTTTGTGAGCGTCCTGGCCGGCTCTGTTGCTTCATTTGCTCAGGGTCGGGATCTAAAGCCCCAAAGCATTCTGTAAATGCTGCTCACATCCAGTTTCTGTCCCCTGGGCCGYGCTTCCCGGCAGCTATAAACCATCCAGCCTGGTATGAAGTACATTTATGTTCCCCGTGTGGACCTCACAGTGAGCGCGTACTAATTGCATTGAGAGGACAAAATCACTCCTCAATGAAATTACTCACAGTTACAGTAAATGAGACTGAGAATGCTCTGTTGTATAAATCGTTCTTTAGCTTTGAAGTAAATCTTGAACATTTTTCATTTTGTTAATAAAAGCACAACATTTTTAGTAAATTGATAAGTGAAAAAATTATGTTTAAACAGAGCAAAATTGGATAATTAGTCAAAGTCGATATTAGAACCACCATCAAAAAGGCCTCAGTTACAGCAAAAACACACTTAACAGTAAAACACCTTTATATAYGGTAGTGGAAGATAATCACAAAGCTGGTTAAGTTGCATAAGATTGTTCTGTCATGGCATCGTTTTGTAAAGGTACAAACAAAAAATAGGAAAAAAATGCAGCATAAATACATTTTTTTTACTGATGTTTAAACTTTGCATTTAATTAACGCCTCTTTCACGCAGCACTTTTAGTCCAATATCTGTAAAGTTTTATATTACCAGGCACCATGACTAACCACTTGGAAAAAAATAATACTTGTTGGCTTTGGATATTCAGAAGCAAATACAACCAAAGGCTTTGATAAAATGTTTTTTTATGGTTTGCCTCTTGCGCTTTTCAGTGGTTTCTAAGTGTTTGTGGCCCTAAAAGCTCGCCTAAGTGCCTTCGTTGGAAATGGAAGATAAGAAGATAAAAGCCCCGTTTGAACCACAGTTTTTAGAGCAAATTATTCTCTTTCATCACAATATATCGCTGCAGTGTTATTAAGTGCAAGAGCCAACTAAAGCTTTTTTTTTTACATTTAAAGCTGCAGCATTCTGTCTTAAACCACCATGGGAGTGTCGGAGCACACCGAGCTGACTGACTCTGCATCAGACCTCCGCCTCTTCTTCCCCTTGTTCTCGTGCCACTCCTCGTCTTCCTCGCCTATTGGGTTCAGCATCCCGTTCTCCTCCAGCTGACCCTTGTGTCCCGGCTGGGCTGCGTACCCGTAGGGGAAGCCCCCGCCCTCGGCTCGCCACTGCCCCGCCTCGTCCTGAGCCTTGGCGAGGCTGACGTTGGAGGAGCGAGGGCTCTCTCCGGGGTCGTCCTTCTCTTCGCCCTGACCCGGACGGCAGGGGCAGGGTGTGAAGTAGAGGTAGATGACGACCATAACCACRCTGATCAGGCACGCCACCAGGGTGGTGTAGGCTGTTTTTAGGTTCTCCAGCCCGCCACGCACGGTGGAGTTCAACACCACCACTGTTATGTGCAGAGTCTCGTTGAGGGAATCGCCTGTAGCGTAGCAGGTGTACAACCCAGAGTGCTCTGACCTCAGGGGCCCTATTTGAAGATTACCATTGCTAAGAACTTTAGCTGTCTTATTGGCTAAAGACAGGGAGGTATTTTCCGGCAGCTCCCATCTTTTCATCACGTTCCTCTGCCTGGTGTCACAGTCCAGCTTGATGGACTGCTCCAGGTGGGCCTCCTGTTTCAGAACCTTGACCTCGCTGCAGTTCAGATAGGCCTTGTCCAGATCCAGGATCAGCATCATTTCCCTGTGCACACCTGGGATCACACAAGTGTGCTTGCTCTTGAAGTCGACGGCCGAGCTGAGCTTCTTGAGGTGCCACTGCGCCACAAACTCATACAGCTCGCAGCTGCARGTCAGAGGGTTGTTGTGGAAGTAGACGCCGTTCTTGATCCAGGCGCGCAGAGCCTTAAGCTCCTGCAGCTGCAGGGTTTTCAGCCTGTTGGAGGAAACGTCCAGCAGTCGGAACGTCCCCAGCCGGCTCTGCTCCTTCAGCACCTCCAAGGGGAAGCGCGAGATCTGGTTGTGGCTCATGTAGAGCTTCTGCAGGGAGTTGAGGCCTTCGAAGGCGGAGCGGTCAATCTGGGATATGTTGTTCTTGAAGAGCAGCAGAACCTTGAGACACTCCAGTGGCTCGAAGATCAACTCGTCCAGCATTCGGAGGCTGTTGAAGGAAAGGTCCAGGTAGGTCAGGTTTCTCACGTGCACAAACGCCTCAGTGGACAGGAAGTCCATCCTGTTGTTGCTGAGTATCAGGTTACGCAGTCTGCCCAGGTTCTGAGGGGCCCACTTGTGGCGTAGTCTGGTGATGGAGTTGAAGCTGAGGTCCAGGACGGCTGTTTGTGGTGGAAGGTCTTCTGGAGCGGTGGACAGATTTGCGTTGGTGCAGCTGATGATGTTGCTAGCACATACACAAGTGGTCTTGCAGTTCAGACGGGCTGGCTTTTCGTGCCCGCTGATTCTGACCGCCGCTAACAGCAAAGACAGGACTGCCATGAGGGTTCTTCTTAAGGCCAAGGCTTCCATCGTGTCCAGGTTAGAAACTGAAGGAKGATCTACTGTCCACAGTGACGTCCTAAAGCTCTAAAGAACACAACATGAAGAAATAATCAACATTGTTTTTAKATAAAGGAAGAGGAATTAGTGTAGGGTAGACCAGGTATGCTTTAAATAACCAGGGGATGCAACTAATTGCTCTTACTGTGGTGGCCATTTTGAATTGGGTTGACTCCAAATGGTTCAGTTCAGTTAGTTTATTAATTTCTTTAAAAACAACATAAAYTCAACATACAACAAAAATACAAGTCTTTAATTAAATGAAAGGTAGCAGAAGAAGAAAAAATCTTATTATATCTGCCCCTTTTTCTCAAATACTGTAAATAAATTCAATCAAAAAAATCTTTAGTTTGTAAAAAAATAACAAAGTTTTAACTCCTTGAACAACAAATCATACATTTACATATTTCTCCAGCAAATTACTCGTTATCATTCTCTTAAATATACTCATTGATCTGGCATTTTTAATGTCATCTTCCAGATTATTCCATAATCTTATACCCTGGACTGAAGTACTCCGTTCCTTTAAACTGGTTCTAAATTTGGGTTTGACAAACATCTCTATCCCTTTGAGATTATAACAACTCTCTCTTTTAACAAAGTGTAATTAAATGTTTGAAGGTAATGTGTTTTTATGAGCCCGATACATAACCAATAAAAAACAATAATCAACAAAATCATAGAATTTCAATAACTTCAACTGATGGAACGATGTATTTGATGGGTGATAGTAAAAGGTGATGAGCTTTAGATGTACATCCATTAATTACCTTTTGAGAGTTTCTTTAAGATCCAACCAGTGGTTCCTAAGATATTTTTCTACCAGACAGAGATTACTGTAACACTTAAAGGCAAAGCTATATGAATAGATTTCACTCAGTCAATTAGTACTTAAAGTATATTTTGGGGATGCTTCCTATCTACTTTCAAACCAAATTTCAGCTTATCTGTTAAACTGACTGTCACAATCGTCTTTGCATTGGTAAGGTTTGATTACCTGTGGCGACCAGCTTGAATTTATCAGACTCCAAATTTKAATCAGTTGTAGATTTATWTCCAATAATTACCTTCTGAGAGTTTCATTAAGATTTGTCCACTTGTTTAGGAGAAACTTTGCTAACAGACAGAGTTTACTGTAATGGTTAATGCTCAAGTTTTATAAACAGATTTCACTCAGTCTGTTAACACTTAAAGTGTGGTTTGGGGATGACTCATATCTACTACCAAACCAAATTTYAGCTCAGTATATGCTGAATTGGCTGAGTCATAATAATTTTTATGTTGGTAAAATTTGGTTGGCTGTGGCAGCCATCTTGAATTTGTCAGACTCCTTATGTTAATCAGTTGTAGATGCTCATCTAGAGATTACTTTCTGAGAGTTTCATTAAAATCCGTCCCTTTCTTTAGGAAATATTTTGCTAACAGACAGAGAAACAAAACACACCCACGGGCAAAAGACATGATTGTCCGCCTTTGCTTTTGGCGTCGGGCGACAATGATCTTTTCTTTATTGTAATTTGTTCTGATCTGTCCTTGGCTCACTCTATGAGGGGTTAATGAATGAACGCATGAATGGGTTAATGATGCGGGGTGAAAAGGCAAAAAGTGCTCCTGCCGCACTGCTCTGCAGCTTGGTGCATTGGAGGAGCAACAAAGAGGGAAAAGTTATTCACTCTGCAGAAATATGAGCGATAAATAAATAAATACATAATAAATAAATAAATAAATAAAAATATCAGAAAATTAATCAAGTAGACATGAGGCTGGTCCGGATGTGAAACACGTGTCCCACCCACAGCTGCTTTACCTTCAGCCGGTGTCATTTAGTCCTCATCGGTCCAGACCTGGAGGTGATCCGCTACAGGACCGGCTCATCCTCTTCATCATCATCTTCGCCACAGCAGCGGGCGATCAGCTGTCGGTCTGTGCGGAGTTTCCTGAGCAGCTCAGTCCTCAGAGGACAGGAAACAAGCAGCTGTCTGAAGGGCGCAGACAGGAGGAGGAGGAGGAGGTGGTGGAGGAGGAGGTGGAGGAGGGTCACATTACCTCCTCCCCTCCCTCACTCTCTTACAACCACTATCAAAAATTACAGCCTCCTAAAAAAAAAAGGCTTTCCAACACTGCAAGGAGCTGAGCCATAACAAACATTGAACCGTTTATACTGACAGCAGTCAATAATAACTTTAATATCATTTAATAATATGAATATTAATGTTTTATAACATATCAGGTGCTGCAGTGACTGCAGTGCAGATCTGACATATTCTTTCATTGTCTCTTGCTAATTAAACTTCAAGTAAATGAAATTATTGTCATTTTCTGAGCTGTTGATTTTTGTTTATTATGTGTGTTATTCTGTTTGCTCTGTGCCACCTGTCTGTTTTTTTTTCTTCAATGGTTTTTCAGTCAGTCTGCCATGCCCACCTACACCTGCTCTGTCTTACCTGTCTCACCTTCCCCTTCTCTCATCAGCCCCGGTCCATAGTTGATCAGGCTTCATCCACTCAGTGGAGCAACGTGTGTTCTCACACATCTAGTTCTCATTGTACCTTCTTGTGTCTCCTTGTACCTCTTAGTCTCATTTGTGCTTCCTTGAGTGTCATTTTACCCCAATGAGTCTTCTTGAGCCTCCCTGTTGCCTTGAATCTTTTTGTACCTTCCCAAGTCTCCCCTCCATTTTCTTGAGTCTACTTCCTTGTGCCTCCTCAAGTCTCTGTGAACATGAGTCTCATTGTACCTCCTTGAGCCTCCCTGTCTTCCTGAGTGTCTTTGTACCTCTGATTTCTTGAGTCTACTTCCTTGAGCCTCCTGTGCTTCCTCAAGTTTCCGTGAGTGTCCTTGAGTCTCATTGTACCTCCTTGTGTCTCCATGAGCATTCGTCTCATTGACATAATGAGTAGTTTGAACCTTTGAGCTCAGGAAGGCGTTTTAGGGTCCCTCTAGAAAACAAGAACGTCTACAAAAAATCATTTATTCCCAATGCAATAACCATTCTCAACCAAACTAAATGACAATCTCCCATTGATGATACGTTAAAGGTTTTTATTTTTTGTTTTTATTTGAAGTTATGATTGTATATACGTGTTTTGTATGAATGTGTTTTATGGCTGGAGAGCCAAAGGACAAGTTCCACCTTGGTGGACAATAAAGAGTTTATCTTATCTTGTCCCTTGTTGTGTCTTCATGAGATTTCTTGAGTCTCATTATACATCCTTGAGAAGAGAGAGTTCAGCTGGTGTCTTGKCTTTCCATGCCTTTTTACACCTCCCTTTCTTCATGTGTTCAATACTTTTTCCCTGTGCCATTCCACATTATTACAAATAACTTCATTTCTGGACATTTATGGTTGATTTCTTTGTATGGTATACTTATTTTACCCACTGTATATTGTAAACTAAAATTAGTTGCTGAAGAAAAAAAGCAGAAATTAATGCCATCATTACACAGGCAGAATGCTGAATGTCTTTTTGAAAGCACAGTCATGATCACGCTGTTTATTGTCTCCTGGCAGCTGTGATTTTAGCTGTCAAAACAGCCTTTTCACAAAGCTGGCTCCATGTGACAGGCGCCGAGTGGAGGAAGTATCAGATGGCGAGGTTGATTGAAGCGGCGGCGTGTCGGAGACGTTCAGCTCTCTGGTGATTTATAAATGAGGTGCAGGTGTGGGGCAGTGGCAGCAGGTCCAGCCCACTCTGCAGCGCTCCATTAGCTTAATGAGTTCGGCCTCTTTTACTGGACTGAAGTCATTTGGTATACAAAGCAGAGAAACAAATGAATGTACAGTAAATGTTTTAAGACTTTACATGTCATCGATCGCGGCACACTTTGTTAATCCTCATGCACAAATGGATTTTCAAAATGACCCACGAGGCCTCAGTTTAACCAGCTGTTAAATCCAGTTCAAGGGCAACAGGAGAAAACATTTATTTACAATCAGAATAGTACGATGCAGTATTACGGCCAAACTATGAGAATTATTTCTAAATTAAAAGTCATAGAATAAAGTCATGTGAACGAAAATAGGAAAATTATGCATGTTTGTTTACCTTAATATGTGCTTGTAATCAGATAGAAAACACACTAATATTTGAATGTAAAAGGAAGTCATACAACCACACCAGCTTCTGGGACTGAATCACAGGATTTGATGCTTTCAGCCAAGGATTCAGGAAACAAACTCTTATAACCTTCTTCAGGACCTGACCACACCTATTTCAATTTGTGTCGTCAAAAATAGCCAACCTACAGCTGAAATCAGGTCCTCGTACAGTTTTCCTGTTTTAATGTTAAAACAACGGTTCGATTAAGTGTTGAAAGTGTGTTCAGGCATGCATCTTACCTCTTGCTCTGTGTAACCATCTTTGATAGCCACTCAGACCAGGCTGTACATAAAATCATTAACGTAATCACAAAAATACTCACAGAATAAAAAGATCAAAAAGATTCACCTGAGAAAAGACTACAGAATGTGTGGTGCTTTTAAAAATCAGTCGTAAACAAACCCCAATAAATTTCTTCAATAATATTAAGAGAATAAAGTCATAATATTACAAAAGTAAAGCCGTAGTTAGTCAATATTAAGTCAATATTATGAGAATAAAATCATAGAATTGTGAGAATAAAATTGTAAGAGAATAAATTCATAGCGTTAGGAGAATATGTAAATTAATAAAATTATGCAAATAAAGTCAAACAAGAATACAATCTTAACATTACTCATAATTTTATGTGAATAAAGTTGTAAAGAACTCCTAGAAGAAAAAGCAGTCTAGAAGGAAGAATGTTGAGCATCTTGTAAAGTCATATTTTAGTATCGGTTTCTTGAATTAGAAAATACTTAATCTTTTAACACATCAGCATCAAATTWCTAACAGTAGCAGGAGTTTGAAACAATCGTGCAAATGATTGTGTCTATTTTGAATATGTTATTCTCATTATATTTTGACTTAATCTTCATGTTATTATATTTTTTTTCTCATAATTAAAAAAATTCTCTTAGACTGACCCCATTAGTCAATTGCAGGGCTATTCAACTGGCGGCCCGCGGGCCACATCCGGCCTGCTAGTGACCAAAGTTCGGCCCGCCAGTTGGTTCATTCATCTCTTACACCCAAACCCCTGGTATTCTACTTTAATTACCGTGAGTTCTTTTAGTTAAACATACACATGTGGTATCTACAGAAACGTCAGAATCTTGTCTAGAAGCTGGTAAAAACCATTTACACGCACACTCAAGACAGTTAAATTTACAAGCAGTTGAAGTTAAAACTATGAAAGTGAAAATAAAATTGGTTTAAAAATTTGGCAAGTCAGAGATGTCAAAATATTGTTTGTGTTAAATAAGAGGCATTATGTGTTCTTTTTGTTTTTGATATTGTTTCATTATCACTACTTTTATAGGGTTCTGTATGTTGTATTCATGATTAAATGCAGCAAAATAAACTATTTCAAAGGTAACAGATCATTGTAATACTTGGTTTATTTACATAATAACTTTAATTGCTGTTATTATTTACATAATAACTTTAATTGCTGGATGTTCGGCCCCTGAGCTGTTGACCTGCAGTAACTGTGGCCCGCTAAACTATTTAATTGAATAGTCCTGGTCTATTGTAAGTATCATCCCTTTTGCAATAGTTTTTTGTAATGCTTTTCTATCAGCATTCATCAACTAGCATCATATTGAGTAAKTTTTAAATACATAATAGAGGATTTAGATAATAAATAAATATGTTTTATAACATCACTTGTAAAGAGGACTAGTGGTGGATCCAGGAGRTGTGGTTCCTTCAGGAGATAAAAAACATGGCTGAAATTAGTTTGTCAATTCAAACAACCTCTGTGATGATCAGTCAGAGGGATGTAGTGGATAAATAAGTGAATATACCTTAATATACCAGTATACGTATTAGGCTAAGAGACTAATTAAATGCTGACTTTTCCCTAAAACCAAAACAACAAAAAGAAAATCCAACATTTAGGAGTTAAAACTGGGAAAAGAGGCATTTTTCTACAGTAGATAATGTATTTTGATCGAGTTAAGTTTTCTTGAGCTGCTGAGGATTTTATTTGGACATATTTATTTATTTATTTATTTATTTATTTGAAAGTCATCTTTCTTACTGAAGACAAACTGCTTATTTAAACGCCTTATCTACGTGTAATTTATCAGGGCTCGTGTTTCAAAGCAGTTCTAGGTGCTATTGTCAAATGTGCTGATTCAAGTGGGCCGTCCCTGCAGCAGACTGTGTGTTAGAGTGGACACACACTGCCACCATCTGGTAATCAGCTCCAAGAATCAGAGGACAACATGCTCACCATCATGCATGCTGCAACATARCCAGGCTGATGTGAAGCTAAAGAAAATAATAATAACATTGTTTACTCATTAAAAGTAATCAGCTTCTGATGATAAGTAAGGTACTCCTGCATTTTTCATAAATTATGTTTTTATTTTGAATTTTTGAATGGAAAAAATAAAAACCAATTTCTAAACTAAAATGATGACAAATAAAAACGAAAAAATAGTTACAAAGATTTGTGCTCATATGCTGAAGAAAAAAATCATTATCAATAAAATGTATTTTATTTGTACCTCAAATCACAATATAATGTATTCTTATAAGTTTAGTTGCTTTAGGACAGGGGTGCCCAACCTTTTTTGAGCCAAGAGCTACTTTTGAAGTCCGCAGCTTGCCGAGATCTACTCGTCCAGTCTCAGTATCAAAAAACACAATTTTTCATCTCCCTGCTCCTCACTTCTTTAAAGTAAATAAAGCAGAACGTAATGTGTTGCTAGTTTTATTTAATTTAAAGTATTGTCAACCAAAACTATCTACTTAACCTTTTTTGAACCAAGAGCTACTTTTGAAGTCGGCAGTTTGCAGAGATCTACTCGTCCAGTCTCAGTATCAAAAAACATAATTTTTCGTCTCCCTACTTCTCACTAATGTGTTGCTAGTTTTATTTAATTTAAAGTATTGTCAAACCAAACCATCTAC